AGAGGAGGCAAGAGAAGGATGGAGATAAAAACAAAGATGCAAGGGAAGAAAGGGGTGAGTGAGTATGGAATTCTACCTCTTTCAGCACATAGTCTAAAAATAAAGATAAAGAGAAGGGTCAAAGCTTTCGTGGAAAAAAATATTTCTGGCAATTTGGAGAGACAGTTTTTAAAACGACAGGTTAGGAATTCATCTACTGTCGAAGGCTTGGCTCTCAGAAGTTCCCCCAGGATGGTTTCTTCTCTTGCCACCTCATTATCGCCGGGAACAATCTGCATGGCCAGTAATGAGAGGATCTTAATGCCGGCAGTCTCAGGGGTGGGTAATGGCTCTGCTCGCGGAGTTGGGGTCACAGGTTCAGGCCTGGATGCTGTGGAGAGAGCTGCGCGGAGCTACAGACCGTCCCCCTGGACTGGCAGTCCATTAGCCCTTACCCCCTCAGCATGGCAGTAATGAGTAGGTGAGGCCCACTCCACAGCCCCTGCCAGCAGGCCCGTCAGAGTGTGGGTGTGGCCTCCCAGTGCCAAGTGCTTCCCGCTGCCAGCCCTGACCAACCTGCTCTCCTTGCAGTGCTGTAGGCCAGCACGCAGGATAGGGTTTGTCAGTATTCGGGATACTCTCAAATTCTGCTCCTAACAACAATGCAATTAACTAGGGAGCCAGATAATTTAAGCTTTATATTCATAAACTATAATATTTATATAGATTCCAATTGTATGTTTTCATCTGTAAGCCCATTCTGTATAGTAGAAAAAAACAGATTTTCTAGTCAGAGTTCTAATCCTAGCATCCCTCTATTAGCTATGTGACCTTGGGCATATTAGCTCATTTCTATGAATCTTGATTTTCTCACATGTCATGAGGAATATTAATAATACCAGCCTTATTGGTTTGTTCAGATTATTATTAAAAATTTGTTATTAATAACTAACATTAACTAACATTGAGTACTGTGTGTTGGATTCTGTGATAAGTGCTTTTATACGTATGATTCTGAATCCTCTGAACTCTACATGTAAATACTACTCTTATCTCTAATTGGCAGATGTAGAAACAGGGTAAGACTAAGTTTGTACGTGTCAGAACTGGGATCTGAAGTCTGGTCTCCCTGACAAACTTTGTAACCTTAACCACTATGCTATACTGAAATTATGAATTTAACACCCAGAGTAAAAGCCTGATATGCAGTACATTGTCAATAATTATATTAGTTGTTTCTCCTCTCCTTTTCTCTTTGTCTAATATAACAGGAGACACTCAGAAAACAGAAATCTGTCTAGGTATTTGAAACAGGGAAGATTCAATACAGGAGATGGTTGCATACAAGATGGAAGAGCTAAGAAGTGAAAAGAGGATATTGAGACAAGGTAGAGAGCAGCAATAGGAGGAAGCCACTGTAACCCCCAGGCTAGAGGAATAGGGGAAAAAGGTGGTACCACCAAATCCCAGAGACATAGTCACCTTCAGAAGCTAGAAGCACAGAGGAGCCCTGGAGTAGATGCTACCATTTCTGGAGATGCAATCCCAAACCAGGAAAGCCAAGGGTAAAAATACCCCGTCCCTCTTCCCTCCTCCTGGTCTCCAATTTCCCACAGCCTCAAATGAGTAATACATACTCAGAAACTCAAAAAGAAGGAAGCTAAGGAAATGTTTCCCGCAAATTTTTCAAAGACAGACAGAAGGGATCTGAGATTAAATATACAGGTAATTGACACATCTGCAATGTTATAAAGTAGGTAAGTTGTGGTGAGCACAGTGGCTCACGCCTGTAATCCCAGCACTTTGGGAAGCTGAGACGGGCGGATCACGAGGTCAAGAGTTCAAGGCCAGCCTGGCCAACATGGTGAAACCCCATCTCTACTAAGCATACAAAAATCAGCCAGGTGTAGTGGCGTGTGCCTATAATCCCAGCTACTCGGGAGGCTGAGGCAGGAGAATCGCTTGAACTTGGGAGGCGGAGGTTGCAGTGAGCCAAGATCGTGCCACTGCACTTAAGCCCGGGCGACAGAGCAAGACTCTGTCTTTAAAAAAAAAAGGTGGGTTGTTATTGTCCTCTCTGTTTGACTCTGTCAAGTATTCATTTCATGGCACAATAGTGATCTCATTCTATAGATGAGAAAAGACCAGACATTAACTACTACTCCTAGAGCCCCAAAGAGGAAGTGAGTATTACTTTTGTGAGATTCACAGAAGGCTTTAGAGTAGGACTGACTGTGAGGACATCATGGGTCATGGGTGAAGAGAGTTTTGTCAGATGGATCAGATTGAAAAAGCACTGCA